AGTTATTCAAAAGTGACCTCAGGGGGCTGGGAAGGTGGCTCAGTGGTAGAATGCTTGCCTTGAATGCATGAAGCCCTGGGTTCCATTCCTCAGCACCACATAAACAGAAAAAGCCAGACGTGGCACTGTGGCTCAAGTGGTAGAGTGCTAGCCTTGAGCTGAAGAGCTGAGGGACAGCACCCAGGCCCAGAGTTCAGGCCTCATGATGGACAAAAAAAAAAAAGGGACCTCAGAAAGCCAAGATAATAATACCCAAATGAATCTGACATCCTTTCATCCATCCATCCTTCCACACTGTGTCAGATACTGGAGTCAAATGTTGAAAACATACAATTATCTCCTTCAAATAGAGGAGATAAGAAATGAAGATATTCATGAAAAGACAGAGTAAGAAGTGTTCTGAGACTATTATGAAATTGGATGAATAAGGAAGACTTCCTAAGAGTGGAGGAGGGTAGAAGGAGCCAGAGCTAAGAGAAGTTATATACAGCACCACTGACTATAGGTTAGCTTTTCAGAGTAAAGAGGGATGAGTAGATCTGCTTTTCTTTAAGAGTAGAAAATAAACATTAAGTCTGAAGCAAAATGAAGATAGTTATATATTATTTTAAAAATAATACCATTTTAGAATTTCACAGTTAGAAGTTAAGGCATAAATGTGTTCACTTCGGACAAGTAAAATGACATTTTTTTTCTTCCTTAGCCCTATTGGAATTTTTTTCCTTGAGCCAAAGGTCTGTGATTTAAAAATCTCCTTGGGAATCTGGCTTAATGGTAGAGTACTTGCATAGAAAGCATGAAGTCCTGGGTTTGATTGCTCAGTACCACATGCACAGAAAGAGCCAGAAGTGGTGCTGTGGCTCAACTAGTAGGGTGCTGGCATTCAGCAAAAGAAGCTCAGGGACAGTGCCTAGGCCCTGAGTTCAAGCCCCAGGACTGGCAAAAAAAAAATCTCCTTAGGTTGCTGAGTCCCTCCTGTTTTTTCTTGCACTTTCCACACTTAAGAGCTGTGTATTTTCTACTTTAACAAATTAGTACAAATTTAGTAGCTTAAAACAACATAAATCCCTACCTTGTAATTCTGAATCAGAAGTTTAGTACTGATTTTGCAAGGGTAAATTCAAGGTGCCAGCTGGGCTGGGCACCTTCATAGAAGCTCCATGGGAGAACTCATATCCTTGTTCATTTGGGTTATTAACAGAATTTGGTTCCTTCCTTATTAGTTTTTATCTGAGGATTCATTCCAGCTTCTAGGGGACAATGATTTTCCTTGGCTCAAGAACCCATCCTATTATCTTCAAAGTCAGAATCCTTTGTGCCTTCCTACTTCACTTTTAACAACTCATGTTATGCCAGACACTGATGCAATACAGGCTCACACCAGTAGTTCTAATTACTCAACAGGATGAGATCTGAGGATGTAGTTCAAAACCAGTCTAGGCAGGAAAGTCCAGTGAGACTCATCTCCAATTAACCACCACCACCCAGCCAGAAGTGGAGGTGTAGCTCAAATGGTAGAGCTCTAGCTTTGAGCAAAACAAACTCAGGGATAGCACTTAGGCTCTGAGTTCAAGCCCCAGGACTGGTATCAAAAAAAAAAAAATACTAACCAGTGCTCTACAGAGAAAAGGCATCAGGTATGGAGTTTGACCATCTTGGACCAAAAGTAAATACCAACAAAATTGCAAGGCCTTGAGTTCATTCCCTATGTATGATGTACATACACACATTTGTGAGACTGAGGAAAGGCAATATGACAATGGCATGGGACATATAAGGAAGATGAGAAACAGAGAGGTGAACCACTTTCATAGATGAATAAACTGAGTTTCCTAAGGACCTGAAATACCATTTATCCGTGTTGGAAGGCTTTTAGGAAGTTTCTTGGGAGCAGGCCCTGTCTCATTCTGATATACTACTGCTTTATCCCAAGCTTCTAAAACTGACTACTACTTAGTAGGTGCTCAAGAAAAATTCGATTGGTAATATTGTATGAAAATTCAGATCAGAAAGGTAGATTGATATGACCAAGGTCATAACTCAAAAACTAGTCTTGATTTTTTAAAACTATGTTATCGTTGTTATTATTAAGGTATTGTACAGAGGGTTTAGTTACCATAAGTCAGGTAATGTGTACATTTCATTTTTGGACAATGTCACCCTTTCCTTCGCTTTCCCCCAGTGTCTCCTCCCATTCCTGCCCACACAGTTACAGAGTTCATTTTAGTTTTGATTTTGTTATTCTTTGGAGACAACTCCTACCAAAATGAACTCCTACAGCAAATGAAGGCCACTGTGAGCTGACATTCTTACCTTGAGTACAGCACTTTCTCTTCCTATGTGAAATTCTTACTCACCCATACTATCAATCAAATGTCTGAAATGTGAGCCAAAGCCATGAATTCTGTTCCCAGTTCCCCCATTCACTTCCTCTGTCATGAGGCAAATTACTAAACCTGTCCAAACTGTTTCCTCTGTGAAGAGAAAGGTTAAGGTTCCTTTTAGCTCTCATGTTTTGTAATTCTAATTTCGTGAAAGCTAATGAATGAGTAAATTCACCCTTGAACAATGTACCCGAATATACTAATATCAGGGATCCTTAAGTGTGGTTAGCACATCACCACTATTAGAATCTTGGTGGTGGTAAAAAGAGTTCTCTTAACTCCTTCCACCTCTAATCATGGTACAGATATTTATGTGGCAGGCTGGAATGAGAAACATTACTGTCTGTATGCCAAAGTACATTTTGCTGAGTAACTCTGCCACAAGTATCACTGAGAAAAACAAGCTGCAGAAAAAAAATCTATACAATTATCCCATTTTTTCATAATGTCAAGTCAGCATGAAAAAATGTTTGTCCACATGATTATGTGAAAGGTATAGTGAATAGAGAAATATAATAATGTAACAATATTGAAAGAAACACAACATTTTTAACATAAGACAAAGATTCTAAGTGGGGAAAAAACCCAGTATTTATGCTAGAATTTTTATTTAATGCATTTATATAAAATAATGTGTTTCTGTTCAGGTATTAAAAATAAATATAGAGACAAGGTTCCTACTGTAGAACCCCTGAAGTCTCAAGATTAAGGATGGGGATGTGGAGAGGTGGGTGTCTCAATCCTTTTTTTTTTTTAAATAAAGAACTGAGGGTTGAACTCTGAGGCCTGGTGCTTGAGAGCTCTACCAATTGAGCCACAGTCCTAGCTGCTGGGTGACTGGTGACTGCATTTTATAACAAGTATTCCAAGTGATTCTCTAACAATGAAGTCTCAAACCTCTGCAGTGCTAACATCTTGAGCTATAAAGAGAGCAGAGTTGGGAATTTCCACCCTGCATTGCAGACTCAGCTTATCTTTATTGTCTTGGACCATGGAAGATGCCTAATTTATTTGAGTCATTCCAAGGAAAGGTGGAAGGAGTGAGGGTCAAATTAGTGAGAACTGGCTGAGTTAGGTTGAGCTCATTAGAAACGAGGCACAGCATAGAACTATGGGCTGGTTCCCTTTATTATTTTTTGACATTCAAGCAGTATTTATTAGTCTCGAAATACATACAGGACAAGTTTGTATATCTCATATCATGAAATGATCTTCTATAGACTCTGGCAGTATAGCACAAAGTAATTAACTATCAAAAATGAAATTAGAACCCAACGTTTTTTTTTAGCACTTTTGAACTAGACACCAAGTAGCAATTAAGGTTGCTCAATTGCTCGCCATAGGTTGCTTGTTTTTCCAAATCTAGAATCTCACTACTCTGCCATGAACATTCTGGTCTGTTGCCACTTACTAGTTGACACTCAGAAGCTGCTAACTTATAGTTTCACCCTGGATCCCATCCAAGACACATTACATCTGTAGCAGGTGTTTTTATACTGCGGAGAAAGTATCACTACCTTGGCGACTTTGCAAGCCTCTCAAAATGTCAAGGAAGATTAAATCTAGGTTCTTCCAATTCTCAGGCACCCGCCAGGTCATTTCTGGCTTTGTGTAGTGTGTATACTGTTTCTCCATTAGGGTAGAAGGAAGATAATCGTGGGGAAAACCATGAGCTGAACAAGTTCTGGGGAGGGGCAGGAATGATAAAAATTTCCTGACACCTATTTTTCAAGAATCATTTCCAGGGTGGGGAAGAAAATAAAAAAGTCAAGGAGGGGTATATTTTACATCCAAATGCTTGAAAGTAAACAGAAAATGGATATTGTGTGTGTGTGTGTGTGTGTGTATTAAAGGCCTTAACGTGGAGACAACTACCGCCTTCTTTTCCCTTCTCCCCTTCGCCCTGCCATCCTCCATTATTTTGGGGTAGGAAGAAAGGATGGGAGCCAGGGCCGGGCCCGGTATGGAATCCCTTCCCCTTCCCAAACCTCCACGGATCGGCCGCGCCAGGCTGCTCTCCATGATTTAGCAACAACCTAGAGGAAGGGGAAGAAGGAATTCCCAAGTGGGGTCAGGGGTGCGCTAAACTCGCGGGCACCAGGCCTGATCGCTGGGGCTTGCGTTTGGCCCCGGGTGCACAGGCTTCCCTTGTTCTCCGTTTCTACGGCCGCGCGCGGGAAGCGAGCGGGAGCCCACAGCCCCTCCCCTCCGCAGGTGAGCACCACGGCCCGGCGGGATGGGGGAGGGGGGGAGGCTCTTTCTTTCCCACACCGTCCCTTCTCCAAGTCACGTTCGGGAGCTGATATGAAACCCTAGTTCCTGGAATCGAGTCCAGCCGAACACATTTAGCTTCTCCAGCCGCGCGCACCTCAGCCCAGCCCCGGATGCGCAGGGCGCACGGCGTTCCCGGTTCCCCGTGGCTGCGGGACACTACACGGTCGTAGCCAAAGCCCGGAGCGTTGGATCCAGGCCCGAAGGAACGGGACGCGAAACGGGAGCGGCACGGCGGGCGGGCCGGGAGACGTCGCACCGGGCATGCTCAGTGGCACGGCCGGCTGGGTGGCCCCTCGAGCTGCACCCGGATCTGCTCGGCGGCGGCGGCGGCGGCGGCGACGTGAGCGCGCAGGGGGGCGGCGGCCTCTCCAGGTCTCCTCTCCCTCTCTTTCCCCTCTCTCTCCCTCTCTCTGCGCCTGGGTCGGTGGGTGACGCCGAGCGCCGGAGAGATGTCGGATTTTGACAGTAACCCATTTGCGGATCCGGATCTCAACAACCCTTTCAAGGTGAGCGTCGGCCCCGCGTCTCTCGCCATCGCGACGCGGCGTTGTTTGCGACCACAGCCGAGTTGCTGCGCGCCCCCCCCCTCGCGCGCCCCGCGGTTCCTCCTGCGCCCCGGGGCCGGGAACGCGGGGTGCGGCCCCGGCACCCCCGCGTCACTGCTGTGGGGGCTTGGGGGTGGGAACGCCTGCTCGGGCTCTGCGTCGGGCCGCTCCGCCCCGCATCACCTGCCGACGAGGGTCGTGCGCTCACTGGGGAAGGAGCTGGCGCGCCTGGCGGGGTCCCGGCCGGGCCCTGAGAAGCGGGGACCCAGAGTCGGGACAGGTGGAACCCTCCCTTGCCCGACTAGTGTGACAGGCTAGCTGGCCGGGGCGGGGGCCGGGCGGCGACCTAGGGGAGCCCGCCCTGGGGTGAGGTTGTCATGGGGACCCGGGGAGGCGGCGTTGTGGGGGTGACAGCAGAGGTGTGGAGGAGAGAGGCGAGGGCACCGAGATGGTGCAATTAGGGGGGGAAATTGTGTTTTTATTAATTAAACTTGCATTGCACCCAGATGCCACCAGCGGCGCTACCATAGGCGCCCCCCCCCCCAATTAGGCAGAGGTTAAGAGAACTGATATCAAAGAAGTAAAAAATAAACATATCTGGAATACAATAGTGCACGTGCACGACATCTTTTCTAGCTGCTGCTAGCAAGGTAAACCATGGAGTATTTTCTAAGCTCCTAGTGCGTCACCGGGGCTCTTGGTTCTTTGAGGATACCGTTTGGCCCCCCACAAGAGTTGCTTTCCTTTTTGAAGTCACCTTATCATCCCCAGCTTTGGAAGGGCCTGGCACAGAAACCCGCAGAGGAAGGCAGCTGACTTGTTCCTTATCTGCTGTAAATGAATGCGACATCTAAACTCTAAAAAGTACACTGAATCTCTTAGTGGGTGTAAAGCTTAGCAAGTGCAATTGGTTTCTAACTATTGGTTGTTGCTCAACCTCCATGTGCAAATAGCAGTTTTAATTAGTAGTCACAAGTGAAATAGTATTAATTTGTGGTCATAGAAGTGTTACTTCTGGCTCAAGTATACATCTGAGTTTTTCATTTGAGGATCCTGGAAGGGGGAAAAAAAGAATCTCTGTTCTGATGATTTCATGAATGATTATTTGAAAGGATCCGGGTTGTAACCGCCCCCCCCTTGATTATTTGACTTTTTAAGGAGTCCCCTGTTGGTTTCACTTCCATTTTGTAGACCATTTAAATTCTTAAATTATGGGCATTCTAAACAAATATAATTTGTCAAATGAGTATTATTTTAAAATACTTTGAAGCCAGAACATTATGAACTTGTTAGCTTCTCCTAAATAAGATAATTCACTGCTGATGATAGCTATTGATTTGTCTATTTGGTCATTCATTTCATGATTCATTTTGTACAGTGTTCTTTTTTTTGGTACTGGGAATTGAACCCAGGATGTTGCACTTGTTAGGTAAGCGCTTTGCCACTGAGCTACATCCCAGCCCTAAAATGTTCTCATGTTAGGGCAAGATACTGTCTTCTACAAATCGTTTAAATAGGGAATCAGGTGCACCCATTGCAACAATGAGATGTACAAGTCGTTATGTCAAAAACGAACTTTACAACTTTGGTTGGGGGGGGAGGAAGAAAATTGGGTTGGGGGGCGGGGGGAGGATGGGAAAGGATGGGAAGGGGAATCAAAGGAGGAGGCTACAATGCTTGATAAGAAATGTACTCATAATCTTGCCCATGTAATTGTAACCCCTCTGTACAGTATTTTCACAATAATAAAAAAAAAGATACTGACTTCTTAGCCAAGACTATTTTTGTGCCATCTAATGTTACCAGGTATGACACATTTCTCTTTGGCCATTAATGCTGGGATTCTGAAAAGTAGTTTATTAAGTCTTTAGTCATTATGAAACATAAACCTCTTTTTTCTTCTATAAAGGAATACACTCAGGACAATGATTATCAGGTCTATAAAATGCTTTCACATTTAGGTCTACAGAAAGGTTCAAGCTGTGTGTTGGTGGCTCACACCTGTAATCCTAGCTACTCCAGAGCCTGAGATCTGAGGATCAAGGTTCAAAGCCAGCCTGGGCAGGAAAGTCTGTGAAACTCTTATCTCCAATAAACCACCAGAAAACCGGAAATGGTGCTGTGGCTCAAGTGGTAGAGTTAGCCTTGATCTGAAGAGCTGAGGGACAGCACCCGGGCCCAGAGTTCAAACCCCATGATCCCCCCCCCCAAAAAAAGTAGGTATAAATTCTTCATGGTGATGGTTACAGCACCATCAGTGTACCTGATCCTTTACCTTTGAATTTGTTGGGACAGGAAGAATGATTCAAGTGTTAGAATGTGTACCTAGCAAGCACAGGCCATGAGTTCAAATCTGAATACTGTCCTCAAATAACTCCCCTCAAACAAAAACAACAAAAATAGTTCCCATGACTTTCTCATGTTTATCCAGCTGCCCTTTCTCTTCAAGTAAAGCTTTCATATCTGTGGTATGTTCTTTTGTTTCCTTCTATGAACAAGTGATTTTTGATACTGTCTACTTCAATCTAAAAAGTCCTGTAGTAATCATTACTTTTTGATTATTTCATTTTCATTTTCAAATCCTACTTTAATATTTCACATTTGCTTTCCATGCATCCTAATTTCTTGACTACCATTTGATACTCATTGTGTGCTTGTGCATATAGTGCCTGGGCACTGTCTCTGAGCTTTATGCTCAAGGCTAATGCTCTACTCTTTGAGCAATAGCTTCATTTCTGGCTTTTTGGTGATTAATTGGAGTTAAGAGTCTCAGGGACTTTCCTGCCTGGCTGGCTTTGAGTTGTGATTCTCAGATCTCAGCCTTGTGAGTAGCTAGGATTACAGGCGTGAGCCAACAGTGCCAGCTATTGTTTTTAAACATTTCTTTTTGATGTGTTAGGAACTCTTTTCTAAGCATTTTCATTTGAGCCATGTTGTAAAAGTAATTTCTGAGCATGGGCTCCTTAGATGATTTAACCACAATGGTTTACTTGATTTTTATTGGCTACTGTAACACATGCTGGGTTCAATGAATAATTATTCTTTTTTGAGTCTGAAATTTGCTTTCTTTCTTTTTGGCAGTACTCTAGGTCTCACATTTGCCAGTCAGGTTCTCTTACCACCTCCAGCCCTCCCCTTGCCTTTTGTACTTATTTATTTTATTCTGCTCTGAATTTTTTCTTTTCTTTTTTCTTTTTCTTTTTTTTGGTCGGGCGTGGGGCTTGAACTCTGGGCTTGGGCGCTGTCCCTGTGCTCTTCAGTTCAAGGCGAGCGCTCTACCGCTTGAGCCACAGCACCACTTCCTGAATTTTTTTTAAGTTAGCTTGTGCAGGTTAGTTTTGAGATGGGGTCCCAGAGTGCCCAGCTCTTAACTTGAGAAGGAATCATGTGAACTTTTCTGCTTGGGCTGGCCTTAAACCATGATCTTCTCAATCTTTGCCTCCTTGGTAGCTAGTGTAACTGGTGTGAACCACCCATGCCAGGCCAAAATCTAAATGTTTGTTATTGTACATAAAGAAATTTGGAAGTAACTGAAGATCTGTGGGACTAAAAACAAAAAATAAATCCCCAGCAGATTGGTAGTTGAATTGCTAAAATGTAGTAGTTGAATTGTTAAAATGTAGTTTTAAAAATAGGGAAATACTTTCTATATAGTCAACACATTTTTTTTAAAACAATTTACTTTATGCCCCTCATTCTTAGGTGCCATTTGGTTTTTTGTTTGCGGGTGGTGGGCCGTGAACTTGGACCTTGCACTTGCATGACAAGCACTTCTACTATTTGAGGCATGCCTCCATCTGTTTTTAGCATTAATTTTTATAAAATCTCAGTTTAGGATAATCATTCTCCTTCCATCTCCCAAATAGCTGGTATAAATACATATATGTACTACCATGCTTGGGCCTAAATTAAATAGAATTTCAGAAGGTTTTAAGTACTGACATATATGTAGTTATATCTCATTTTAAAGCTCAGAGCATCTAAATTGCTTATAGCCTTACACTCCCATGTAGATAGTATAGAATGGATGTTAGACCACCACAATCTGACCCAATCAGTCTACTGCTGGTGGGCAACATATGCACCGCTTGGTTGTATGCATTCCTGACATTAAAATGACTGTTTTTAGTTTGGAGCTTAGAATTGGACTCTGTGGAGAAGGAGCAGAAGGTAGAGCTTAAAATGAATGGCTGCAAAGTGGGGCAGGCTTCATTGAGGGGAATGGGTGCCATTGGGAGGGGGAAGGCCTATGAGGATAACAGAAGATGAATATGGTCAAAGTAGTTTGTTTCCATGTATGAAAATAGACCAATGAAATGTGTTGAAATTGTATTGAGAAGGAAGAATGGGGTAGGGGTAGGGGAGAATGGTAGAGGGAGTGTGGTTGGTAGATTATATGCATGTGTGAAAATGTTATAATGGACATCTCCTCTCCCCTCCCCCCCCACCCCAATGAAAGTATGCTAATGATAAAAGAAAAAGATTTGACCCAAAAAGCCTAGAAGTTTGGGCACCAGCGGCTGATCCTATAATCGTAGCTAGTCAGGAGGTTGATGCTTGAAAGATCATAGTTTGAAGCCAGCCTGAGCTGAAAAGTCTTCAAAACTCATTCTTAAATCAACCATCAAAAAAGCTAGACTAGAAGCTAAGACTTGGAGGATTTCAGTTTGAAGTCAACCTGGGCAGCAAAAATCTGTGAGGTTTCACCTCATTAACCAGCAAGGCTCAAGTAGTTGAGTGCCACCATGAACAAGGAAGTCAAGTATGAAGTCCTAAAGGTCAATCCCTGGTATGGGTACATATACAAAAAAAGTCTGGATTTAATCTTGGTCTTACCAGTAGTATGGTCTTGGGAAGTTACTTCTATTCTTTAAGCCTCAGTTTACCATTTTTCTAAAATAGAAAAAGCTACCTACTCCATAGGATTGTTAGTAGGATTCCATGAGAATTTAACATGTAAA